AATAGATGTGCCTCATTATAAATTGACAGACTTTTATAATGCTATGACGCAATTTTTAAGATATGCTTACAGTCCGGCTAATATTATACAATTTAAGCTGCAACCTGGAACCTTGATTTCTGTCGATAATTTTCGTGTTTTGCATGGTAGAACGGCTTTTGTTGTGTCTCCAGATAATTTTAGACATGTTGAAGGTGGACACGTTGATTGGGATGGAGCAATATCTTGTATGAGAGTACTAGAGAAAGAACTTAACATAGATTATAGAACTCCTAACATTTAGTTTGTTAGTTTTAATAGCTAGAATAGAGTGTTGTTTGGGTATTGATAACTCTACATGGATTTTAACTTAATATTATAAGATTATTCATGATTTCTTGCTATTTAAAACTTTTACATCCTAGGTTATCAAGTATATTTTATAGATCGGAAGCAGATTTTTAGTAAAATTTTTTTATTAAAATATCTGGTTTAGCTTAACGCATACGTTATGTGCTTATTACTATAAGCACGGTTTAACTCAACCGTATCGGCTATTTGCTAACATTAATAGCTATATGATTGGTATAATCTCTAAGTTATATATGTTTGTCAGCGCTACTAGATTTACTAATTAATAGTAATTTCGGTCTTTTTAGGCAATGTATGTTTTTTCTATCGTCAGTTCACTATATCTATCAGGTTTGTTGAATGCTTCTATACGATGTAGAAATACACGATTGACTTTGATGATATTTTTGTTATTAATAAAATTATATAAACTAGATAGATTTATTACATTATATTCCTACGCTTCGTTCGGAGTTAATTCGAATCTAAGATAAATCAAAGCAACTTCTATGATTTGATTATATGCTTTATTTATTATTTATATAATATATCGCATTTGTAAGAATTTATACAATTATTGCTGTAGCATTAATCGGAAAATTATAGAAAGAAAATTAATTTAATAATTATTTAAGAATAACACGATAGACTAGAATTTGGCCAATCTGTAAGAAGATTATAACATGATATCCTTATTTCGCGTATTATCATTAACTATCAGTAAATTCGAGCATATACCGAAAGTTGAAAGTTCTGTTATAGTAGCATTATGATATTTATGCCATTACTTATACTCTTAAACTATAATTAGTGAATAGGTAGCATAAATACTGCCTATGTTAATAATTGGATGCAGAGATTTCATAGGAAGGTTATTACAAGGTTGTAGTAGTCAATGATGGAAATTATGTCGAGTTTCCGATATTTAAGTCCAACCACAATAGTAAGAGAGGGCAATATGACAGTATTAAAACTTACAAGTAGTAATACTAATAAGATTAATAATTATAATTTGGCATTTTCAAAAGAAGCCTTTTGTAATGTTATTCAACAGGTATTAAACAAACGAGGATATTTCGGTAATTTTTTCTATTTATAAATCAATTTACGATAGCAGATGTTCTAATTACACAGATGTCACAATTTCACTTCTGCGACAAGGTAACGTACAGTAAAAGTTTATAAGTAGCTACTGACTTAAACGCCCTTTTACTTAACGTTAAACACACACAGCAAAAGACTGTAAAGATGAAGCTTTTATTAGCAAAGATACATCTACAACTTTTTACCACCCTCTCAACTCANATATTCCCGTTTATATAGGAACCGTCTAATTTGTAAACAACATTATTATTATTATACCTTACTAGGAGAATCATCTCGAACTAAGATGCTCCTTACATAGCTTTTCTATCAGTAAATATTTTAAATCTCTTACTCATACTTAATCTTAATCTAAGCTCGTAGGTTGCCTAATTAAACTATCATCAGCTAGAACTTGAATCATCCTACTGCTATCTATCACACAATAACAATCAATATCAAATATATAATGAACTATTACAAACAACATTAACGTTAAGGCATTACTTATCTTACCTAGCACTACAAATATGGATATTCTCCATACTAGCTACTACTGTACTTATTAAACTATCCTAATGACAAGGCAACATCGTAACAACAGAAAATATAGGTATCGCTAGTATTGGGAAGATATCGGATCGTTTAAACGTCATTGTGACGGAGCTCGCTCCGAAATGAATAATATTTTGATCTAATACGTGTAATAATGTTATTATGGAGGTTGCCGATCTCGACAACAACCTAGTTGTTAATTGAGTTTTGTTATTAATTATCGTAGTAATATACAGCGTAGATATTGTGTTAGCAATTAAAATGTCAAGCTGTGAAGATTATTATGTTAGTTAATAAGGTGCTAATTAATAATCTTAATTAGTGGCAGGTATTAAGTAGCACTCGATCTAGTCGGATCTATAGAAAGCTTGTATTGCACAGTATATAATTTAATGTGAAAGATTAGCACCGGAATTATTTGTGTGACACATGAAACTGTATATAAGCTTGATTATTACTTTTTAATCTCAGTTCCACTGAGGCTAACGTAGAGTACACTAGTGTAATAATATCTTCTTTAAGTAGCGTAAAGTATTTTAAGGTAGACGATGATAGAAGGTATAAAGGATTTTATTGAGATACAAGTTATAGGCTAACAATGATATAGTTGTTATAGATAAGGTATTTGAGATAGCAGGAACGTAGGAACTAACTAACGAGTTAGCTTACAAGGGTATTTATAGGTTTTAGATGAGATTGAGATAATGTCTTTATATGTATAGCATGTCGTCTATATGTCGTCATGATATCGTATGTTACGAATGTAATGCAATACAGTACTTAAATGGTATATGATCAGTATTCGTATATTAGGATATTACTATACTAGGCATCTTCTATATAAGATCATAATGTTACAACTAGTACAAGCGTAAACGGGCTAGTAATAAAGATATTTATTAACCTAAACCTATCGTTTGGCTCGATTACTATAGTATAGGAATAAGTTAGTTTTCCCTTACTGAGGACCTCCGGAGTTAGTCGGAGAACCATAAGAATAGATAGACTAGTTTAGGTACGATCACGAAAGCTGTTTTGTGACAGTCATTATATCATATGCACGTATGCATCATTATTAGTGGTTTAAAGTATATTAAAAATCTACAATATTATAATAGAGACGAATGCAGCCTTATCTGATCATTGACCTATACATATTCATGGTCAAGTTATTGGAAAAATAATAAAAATATAGTTATGCAGTATTAATTGCATTTACCTTGCTATAATAGAATCAGAATTAGATAGATAGTAGGGAGACAGATAATGCAATTTATTAATGATAATTATACATGTATAATTGGCAATTACGGTATACAAGATCAGGTAATTACTAATAGGAAGATATTTGCTTAATATAACTTATTACAACTCCTTGCATCCACGACAATCAAATTACAGTTTATAATCTTGAAGTAGCTAACCTTTATCTGGTTGCAATTCTAGCCTTCATTCATTTACAACAGTCCGACATTAAATTTAGTCCAATATCTTTGATTAAATCATGGCCATGTTTTCGTCTACAATAATCAACAGTTTGTTCCGCGCATCTCGAAGTGCAGTTAAATACTCTTCTTCCAACTTAATTCGTCGCCCATATTGGCCATCTCTTAAGCTACATTATTCGATACAAGTTGAAAATCGAGTTCAAGATAAACTAATATCTGTAACATGGGACGATGGTAAAACTACAAATTATCCCCATATCTTTCTTCGCGATAATTGTCGTTGTTCGTCTTGCTTCGATCCTCAAACTCAGCAACGTTCTATCTCTAATGCTGTATATCACAACTATGCTAATGCAACAATAAAGACAGCCCGAGTAGACGATAAAAACGATAAATTATACTTAGAATGGATAGACGATGGCGAACATACAACTAGTAATTTTGAATTAGATTGGTTAAAAGCTCATCGATCTATCACTTATGATGATATTGAAGTTAATCCAGTTACCAAACAGCTATGGGGTAGCGAAATGAAAAACAATTTACCACAATTCGATTATAATAAAATATTAAATGACGATTCAGAATTACATCGATGGGTGCGTTGTATGTTAAAAGTAGGCATTTCATTGCTCGTCGGTTTACCAGAAGACATCGGTCAAGTCAAAAAGTTCGTCAATAGGGTAGCATATCTTCGCAAGACATGCTATGGGTAGGCATAATAAACATAAATTACTTGTAATTTATATAAAATAAATGATGTTAGTTTTCTCAGTGATCTCGAAAATAAATTCACGTCTGTGACATTCATTAATTAATGCATCATCAATATTATAATTTTGTTGTGTGATGAATCATATGTTGACACCTAACTACTAATTAACTAATATTAAATGTCATAGAAAGTGTGTTGTGATTCTGGCTATAATAAGTATGTAGACTGGGTTATTAATTAATTACTGTTTTTGCACCAACGAAGTTGGTGAGGATATATAAAGTCTCAAAGTTCTTAATTGAGAGTCAGTTACGTTAGTCGATGACAGATGGTTATCAGTTGCTAGTCGTAATTGTAAGTTGTGCGTTCAATCGGACATTTTAATAAAATAGCTTCTAGAATAAAGTTTTGATCCTTAACGTGAGTAATCTATCGTCTAAGACTCGAATCTAAGTTTGGTTGATTAAAGAGTGCTTAGAGTTAGTTGCTTAGATAGTTAAGTCTACTTTAGAGGAAAGAATCCCGTTTAATTCTTGTGTTACAATCTCGGTTGTGACAACGTCTAAACATTTTTATCTTAATCGTCAATACGATATGACAATCTCTTTACTAAATTCCAAAAGTGTGCGTGCAGATTAAAATCTAATGCTGATATATTTTTCATCTATAAAAGTAGATACAGTTAATGGATTAATTCTGCTTATTCAATTTATAGATCTACGTTCAAAATACATACTGATAAAGGTGATGATCTAACGACTATTGCCTATAAAAATGGAGGACTAGCTATGCACACTGATCTTGTGTATTATGAAAGCGTTCCAGGGGTAATATCAGATTACCTGCAATAATTGTTTCCATATTCGTTAACGTACTATGAATATTAAAATAATATTAACGAAATCAAGTAGTATCAGAATTTC